CGAGAAGAATATCCTCCTCACATGTCGTCGCCCGTACCTTCTTGGAAACTTTGTACTGCTACAGCATTGGGTGCCACCACATGGAATCGAAGGGCGTTGGAGAAACTCTCGCCTACTTGGAATGGAAGGGGGCTGAGTACCTAAAGAAGATGGAATATCCAAGTAGGTCACCTGACCTGAATCCCTTCAATTACCCGGTTCGGGCGGAGTTCAATAGGGTGGTCTACGGTGGCGGAGAAATCGACTATCTCGCTGATCTCAGGCACCACATCGCGGTCGCGCCAGAATCTCTCGATGGCGCTCGTCCAGAAGGCTGTGGCGGAGTGTCATGATAGTATTTGATATGCTCTTTAATATGGTGGTGAAAATGTCCGATGAGAATTTAATAAAGTGTAACTTATAGCGCCTCGAAAGTCAATGAAGAAAAGTGACTTTTTTTGCCTCTCCCCTGTATATTAGGTTGTCCGGAAAGTTCTCAGCGTTTTGTGTTACTATTTTTTGTACATTCATTGCTGATTAAAAACTCATTCTCCCTTGCGTCAGTAGCACATCCTGAAGAGAATTCCTTGCGCTATCTGATGGTATAACTGCCGTTTCACCATTGCTTTTTTCAAGATTTTTTCAGCATGTCAAAAGAGCAACTTCAGATGATATTTTCTTCAGCTACAAATTGGGTCAATCCGCAGTCGAGACAGCTCGACAAATTAACCAGGTGTGGGGCCCAATAGTGTTGGAGAAAGCACCGTGCGACAATGGTTCGACAAATTTCGTTCTGGAGATTTCAGCCTTGAAGATGAACCTCGTAGCGGTCGACCTAAAGCAATACCTGACGAGGATTTGAAGGCGTTTGTGGAGGCTGACCCATCCCAAACAGTTCGAGAGATTGCAGAAAAGCTAGGCGTTGGCAAATCCACTGTTGCGGATGGTCTGAAACGCATTGGGAAGGTGAAAAAACTCGACAAGTGGGTGCCCCACAATTTGAGTGACCGGCAGAAATTGGCACGTCTCGAGGTTTCTTCTTCACTGCTTTTGCGCAACAGAAACGACCCGTTTTTGGACCGAATCGTCATTGGATGCCGACGAACCACCGAGGCAATTTCCAAAGCCGAATCCTCACGAAAAAAAGATTATGGTCACAGTGTGGTGGTCATCGGCTGGTGTGATCCACTATAACTTTTTGTCACCAGGCCAAACCATCACAGCAGAGTCCTACTGTGAAGAAATCGACGAAATGTACCGAAAATTGCGTCAGCTGCAGCCAGCACTTGTCAACAGAAAGGGTCCGATTCTTTTGCATGACAACGCCCGCCCACACGTTTCACAAATCACTATCCATAAATTGAACGAATTGGGGGTTGAAGTTCTACCTCACCCGCCATATTCTCCAGACCTTTCACCAACCGACTATCACCTTTTCAAACATTTTCAGAACTTCCTTGCTGGAAAATACTTCATCAATCAGGACCAGGCAAAAAAATTCGTGGATTCTCGACCACCCAGTTTTTTCTTTGATGGGATTTATCGAACCGAGTCACATTGGCAAAAGTGTGCTGATTCGAACGGTGCTTATTTCGATTAAATCCGATGAGTATTAAGAAAGTTATGATCGTTTAAAGTGAAACACTCAAAACGCTGAGAACTTTCCGGACAACCTAATAAAAGGATAAAGGACGATAAGCCATGGACGAATACCTATACG